GCTTTTTCGCCGACAATTCCGGGCTCAATTTGAGAACTCAGCGGAATAGTTCTGAGTATAGCGTCCAAAAATTGGGTGATCAGGAAGGGAGGGAGGGGGACCTATGTGGACGGCGATGGAAGGGACGGGGGCATGTTTAGGCAGGAAGGGAGGGAGGGGGGCATGTTTAGGGTGGGTGAGAGTGAAGCAAGGGGTACGCGGGAAAGCATGGGGGGGGTTGACTTGAGCTCATAGTGGATGACCTGGCGGGCATCCTGGTAGGCCTTCTACCGCAATGCGCCAGTGCGATAGTGTCGTAGAACTGGGTAGAACTGTGAGTTGCAACGAAGAGATCACGAGATAAGCCACCTGGCAACGGGAAACAGCAAACCAGCGACCGCTTTGTCGCCAAGTCATCACCTCTCTTCCTTGGCATTCCAGACCCCGAACCCCCCCCGACTGTACACGTCATCCCGTCCCAACCGTGTCCGCATGTTACACGTTGTCCCGTAGCCCACGTGTCCACTGCTGTCATTGGCGCTGTAAGTTAGTCCATTTACACACAAAAAACGCTACACACAGTCCATCGCCTCCACCCGCTTGGGGTATACAGCCGACAGCAACATGCCCCCACCCACCGTCAGCACCACCACACCTAGCGACACGCCCGTGCCTACCTCGACGCCTACGCACGCCGCCATCATCTTGCCGCCGATGAACGCGAGCACCAGCGCGAGCGCTTGGCGCAGAAACCGCACGCTCCCCATGGAGCACGCCACCACAAAGAAGAGCGACCGCAGCCCCATGACGGCCAGCACGTTGCTCACGTAGATCACAAACAAGTCGTCGCTGATCCCTAGCACGGCCGGCACCGAGTCCACCGCAAACACCACGTCCGACACCTCGATCGCCACCAGCACCACCAGTAGCGGCGTGCCCATAACCTTGCCTGTCTCCGACACGGCGAAAAATCGGTCCCCGACGTACCGGTCCCCCACGGGGAGCACGCGCTTGGCAAACCGGATCACCCGGTTGTCGTCCAGGTCCTCCTCTGCGTCGTCCTCCTCCAGCAACAGCTTTCCCGCCGAGTAGACTAGGAACACCGCAAACAGCCCCGCCACCCACTCAAACCGCTGCGTCAGCATCTTCCCCGCCACGATCATCACGCCGCGCAACGCCATCGCGCCGAAAATGCCCCAGCGTAGCACCTTTTGCTGCGCGTCGCGCGGCACGCGAAAGTACTTGAACATGAGCATAAACACAAACAAGTTGTCCACAGACAGCGAGTACTCCACCAAATACGCCGTGACAAATTCCATCCCTCTCGCGTACCCCTTGACCGCGCCGACGCCGACGGCCACGCAAGCGGCGGCCATGACCCACGCCACGGTGCGCGCGGCGTGCATGCAGAGCGAGGACGGCTTGCGCGCGGCCGCCGCGCCGCCCAGCGTGAGCGCGGCGAGCGACGGC